GTGATACTTATGATTCTATTAAAATAAGGTCATTTTCTGTAACTCAAAAATTTTTCTCTTCCTTCCATTTCAAGTTATTGAGAGTCTATTGCATGGTTCCCCAATCTTTTTTGACTATTGACCCTTTCAAGAATTCCTTGATCTCCTCCTTTTTTGCTAATACAGTACATTTAATGATGATAAAAAGAATAATCTGGTAAGCCACTATTAACCGATACACCATTTTCACAGAAAAGATCTAACTGCAGTGTGCAAATTTATAACATCCTGAATTGTCATATACAAACCCGTTGGTTTTTAATAAACAGTTTTTCAACTGACCCCTGAAAATGCCTTATCAATCACTTTGAGGATCCCTAATCTATTGTAATATGAAACTAATATATTTTTTCAATTTTATAAATCTAGCTATCTGATTCAAAATTTCAGCATATTTTTCTGAATACAATTATTTAATAAGAATTCAATAATTTTTAGCTGTATTTCTTATATTTACACTAAAAATGTTTATTATTTGATTACTTTTTCATTGTTCCTCATATTAATATTGTTGAATTTTCAAGGAAAAAAATGTTTTTGTGATTTTATTTAAAAATTAATATACTAAGTTTAATAAATCTTTGTTTTTATTGCCATGAAATTATTACAATAAGAAGACTGAAAATATTTAATGTATATATTATATGAAATTTTTGGCTAGTCAATTTCTTAAATTCAATGTCACTGTTGGCAAAGCACAACTAATTCATAAAACATTGTATTTTTATTTTTTGTATATCATATTCATCTTTTTTATATCCTTATCATGAAATATGAAAAAAATAATAATAAAAATTTTATTGTCATCTTTTTCAAACTTTTCTTTTATCAATTTTAACAATATATATCTCTTTTTAAATATTTTTATTTTTGTAAATTATTTTTGCCAAATATTCATATAGTTATTATACAAAAGTACATATTTTGTTTTATCTTCAATTAATTAATTTTTAATAAAATTTCAACATAATTTACATAAACATATCAGAGGATCCAGGTGGAGGGAAATGATCTGGATCTGGTCTAGGATTAAAATATATTATTAATATATAATATTTAAAAATAATAATCTTGTAATGCATTTTTAACATTAAGAACATACCCAAAATGTCTTGGATGAAAACCTCCTGGACCAAATGGATCAAATCGAGCACCAGGTGGAATAGCACCTCTAAATAAAAAAATTATTTTATAAACATAAGTTCTATAATTAACTATTACAAAAATATTTAAATATATAATACATAATATTGATTGATTATATCAAATAAGCTGTTGATTATCAACTAAAAATAAAAACCCAGCAATGTGTTGTGTAGCTTTCCCAGCAAAAAAGTTAAAATTGTATGTGATACCATCTGTTATAAAAAATTTCATATTATTAATTATTATAAAGTGGCAAAATTAATTTGAGACTACAGGTGAGTTTTATAACAAATTGTAAATATTAATGAAGATTTTACTCGTTATTAAGTCCAACTCCACTCAAGATATGACACAACAGTCTCTATCCTCTCCACCCATTTTAACCACCAAAATTTAACATGAATGCCCCCTAATACAAAACTTCCTGCAAAATTTCAGAAATTTTCAACAAAAGGCACAAGAGTTATTAAGCTTTAAAGTGGGTGAACAAAATTGTGTCCCCCTCCACATACAGAAACATCCATACATACAGAAAAAACCCCCAACTTTTTTTTGCATTTCTTGACATTTCAAAGTCTGCCCAAAAACATTGGTAAAAAAATTAACATCCTATTGCCATACTTTTCCTCTGTTATACACAACAGCTGGAAAAGTGAAAATGGAAAAATTTAACATTTTTATAAATTTATAATAAATATCATTTGAATTTCTAAATGAAAGAAATTTGCTTATTACAAATGACCGATGATTTAACTAATAATACTGTTAATATATATACATGATAATAATCATTTAGCATGATATGTTATGCTAAACTTTAAACACAATAAACAAAAAACTGTGTCTAAATGTAAAGATACACTTACATAAGAAATATACATTATATGATGGGTGATCGGTTAACAATNTTGAAGTGCTAATAACAAGTAAAATCATTGTTAAGTCCAACCCTACTCGAGATATGGCACACAACCTCTTCCTATCTCCCCACTCCTTGACCTTTAACCACCAAAATTTAATAACATCAATTATCTTAATATATAAACCTTCTTGCAAAATTTCAGAAATTTTCAACAAAAAGCCCAGAAGTTATTAAGCTTCAAATAGGGTATTAGAATTGTGCCACGTGTGTGTACACACGCACACGCAGAAAAAACATCCGAATTTTTTGCATTTCTCGATGTTTCAAGGTCCTGAGTCCAAAAGTGTAAAAATCTTAGAGGGTCATTTTTTGACTGATCATACTTTCTCTGTTATATATAGCAACCAGGAAAGTAAAAATATTGTAATATTAAATTTATGTTGTTTTAATCAATATCATTAATATTGTGTAATCTGTAATTTATTATTATTGCTTTTTTAACTGATTCAAAATTATCAATTTTTTTATTATTAGATCTTTAATATAATCAGAAAAACTGTTTTTAAATTTTTAATTTTGATCAAATTCTAATAAATCTGATTAAAATAACTAAATGTTATGTTATTACTTGTGAAAAATAATAAGTATTTTCCAAATAATAATCATAATTCAAGTCAAGAAATATTCCACTTATAATATTTTTGAAAACATTTAACCAAAAATTCTCAATAAGAATATTAAGATATAAATGCTAAATTAATTATCATACAAATCTCATAGGAATATAATCATGCATTTTCATAATTATTGCATGTAAAAGACAGCTTAAAACATTATGTGAAACTTATGGTATGCATTTTTTTTTTTTTTTTGTTGTTGTTGTTATAAAATGATATGTGGTCTGAGAGACCACACAATGGTGTAAATATGGCAGATGTAGCACGACAGCAGTTAAGGGGGGCAAGTAGTTTGATAATTCTATTCTAAGCTGAAGATGACCTTTAAATAATTTCTTGTTACAAAAACATTTGATCAAAAACTTTTATGCTGGAATTTTAAGACATAGTATGTTTGTGAATTTAGTTTTTCAGTTTACAATAATACATGAATATGCATAAAGTTTTATTAGACATTTCTGATACATAACTAAAACACAATCATTTCCTAGGCTTTAATGTTCATTAAAAGTAAGTTTAGGGTTAAAAAGATTGAATTGTTGTTTTAGATTGTCTGTGTTCTTTAGTGTTTATTTAAACAACATTTAAAAACACTTTACATTTATCTTTGCACTTATCTGTAAAAGTGGAATAAAATGAAATCTCTACTCTACCATAACTTCATTTAAAAGTAACTTATCTGAATAGCCCATATTAGCTAAAACAGGGAAAAATTTCAAAGTCCAGAAACTAATTTAAATTTTTAACATCTAATTACTATTTCAGATTCTAAAGCTCAGGTAATTCTAAATCTATTAGATTTCTCAAGCCACTCAAAATGTTTTTAAATTAATGAAAAAGTAATAAATAATGTCATGAATTTTTTCCACTAGATGTACAGTACAAGACAGTTCCATTTTATCTTGTCCATCATTTATGGTACTGTACTGTACTGTACATACTATCATCACCAAAGCTAAAAGTATCCCATTTACTCACCTTTTTTCTTATATAATAATAGTTTTTTTTTAGAATATAGCATTTTATATTTTATACATAATGAAACATACAGACATTCATAATGAATTATTATAAAGTAAAAATTAAAACTTGGCTGATGGTATTTAATTTTTTTCAAATGTATAAAAATCCATATACAGAAAAAAAATTGTTGCTTTCATTTTCTTTTCTGTTGTTTACCAGTGACAGTCCAAAATAAGTATTCTCAAACACAGAGATGACCTTTTTCTTTGAGGCTCTACCTCTGCAATAGAATGCAAGTGGAAACAGCATCCTCTGGTTAATTTTGCCAATGTCACAATATAATACATAATTTGACATTGGCAAAATTAACCAGAGGATGCTGTTTTCATTTGCATTCTATTGCAGAGTGGAGCCTCAAAAAAAAAAGGTTCTCTCTGTGTTTGAGAATTCTTATTTTGGACTGTCGCTGGTAAATAACAGAAAAAAAAAACAAAAGCAACAATTTTTCTGTGTATATTTGTGATTTTTTTGTATATTAACTATAAAAATTCTTTTTTTTAATCATATTTTTTGAAATATTCTTATTATATTGTTATTAGGAAATTGTTTTTCTAAGTTTATAATTGACTAGCAGACCCCGCCAGGCGTTGTTGTGGCTCAAAATGTATCTATTATAAACGTATAACACTTCCCCCGTGGGGGGAAAATTTTTCGAAAAATTTCTTCTTAGTGTACATTCTCTTGACGTACCCTATTATATAAATTATTAATTAAAACGAGTAGTTTCGGAGATTACCTGCTGCAAACAAACTTACATACATACATACATACATACTTACAAACATTACCTCTTTATAATATTAGTATAGATTAGTCATTGAAGTAATTTTATATTTGTGTATAAATGTATTATTTTAGTAAGTTTCATAGATTATTTTCACATAATCAAATTTTACTAGTAGCCATAAAGAATTTTAGCACCAATATACTTAGTATATATCAGTAAAAATGGGTTTTTGGGTTGACAGATGTATTATAGCTTTTTCATTTAAAACCTAGTTATTATTTTAATTTCAATTTACAAGCAGTTTTTCTAGAACATATCGTGCCCTTAAATTGAAAAAAAATGTGTATTTCTATAATGAGTGGAAATATTTAGAAAAAAGAAAGTTTACAATAGTTATTTTATCACACTAATAATTATATAATTTTAGTTTTCTTACTGATAAATTGAGTTATTTATTATAAAATTTAAATATTATTTTTTAATGTATTCTATCTATTAAATTTTATAATCTTTTATTTATTAACAGTGAAAGACAAAGAATTGTACCATTTAAATGGAGAAATAACAGAAAGCTATTTTAAGAAACAAATTCAAATGTTTGCTGAAAAATATAATTATACTCTTTTTCCGGAAGCTCTTTATAATGCCATTGAATTCATGTATTTACCATGGTCAGATGCTTGGCATACAATTTCAAAAAACAAAACTTTACTCAGAGAATGTTATATTAATGTGAGTATAAAAAGACAATGTATTTCAATATCTTATTTTTAAGAAAAAGAAATTAACAACATTAAATTATCAAAAATATAATAATTCTATATTTTATAATTTTTCTCAGATGTTTTCAGATGCATATTACAAGGCACCAAATGATAAAATGATAAAATTATTACTTAATAATAAGATAAAAACATATATGTATGTTCTTAATTATACTGCAGAAGGTCTGCAGAAACCAAAATGGCATGGTAAGCATTTCTCTTCTTAAACACTGAACAAATGCAATTAAAGTATTTTCAATTAAAAAAAAAATAACAATGCTAACAAAGTTTAAAAATAATAATAATTATTATTATTAACTAGGCATACCTCATGATTCAGAATATATATTTATTACTGGTGCACCTTTTATGGATCCACAATTCTATCCATCTTACTTGAAATTAAATGAAGCAAACTGGACTGAAGCTGACCGTAATATGAGTCAATTCTTCATGGAAGCGTGGGCTAATTTTGCCAAATATGGGTATGTTAAATGTTCTTAATTTTCAATAATTTATTTTTTCTTATTCTGATATCTTTAAAGTACAAAACTGAAATTTTTTATTTTAGTAATCCTACACCAAAATCCATCTTAAATGCAATATTATGGGAGCCAATGCAAGCAGAAAAGCTTCAATATCTTTCCATCAATACAACTAATATGACTAGTGTTATGTTGGAGAATTACAAGCAAAGAGAAAGCCAGTTTTGGAACTTTTACATTCCCAGATTAATACAAAAAATTACTCCAACTTGGCCCCCAACATTAGAACCTATAGTAGAAGAACTTCGAATTTATCAAGCTTCATTATGGGGAGTAGTAGCATTAGCAGGATTATTTCTTCTTCTTACCCTAACTTTTTGTTTTCTATTTTGCTGCAGAAAAAGGTGAATATATATACTTTTACTGTATTGCTTGTTTTCAATATTTTTCTATTACAGTAGAACCTCGAAAACTCGGCTCTCGATAACCCGGCACTCCGGATAACTCGGCCACACCCTGGCAGGGCAAAAAATCCTTAGTTAATTAATTTTCATTATAGACAGCTTTATAAAAGTATAAAAGCTCTCATAAAGTATTTTTCTGAGGTCTGTCTTATCAGGTAAATTACTGTACACAGTGTATTCATTAATTTTCATTTTCATGTAGTAAAGGCTCTATGCCTTCATAAAGGACGTACTTTTCCTTTGTTTAAGGGTATTTGGGCAGTTTATTCTCTGTTATATTCTCAAGTAAACAATACATACAAGTACAGTACAGTATTTTCTGAGGAAACACTCGTACTTATTTTTTTTAACCCCATTCCCGATAACCCAGCATTTTCACAAACTTGGCCACCCTTCGGTCCACATTAGGCCGAGTTTTCGAGGTTCTACTGTATTTTTATTTTTACACAAAACAGAAATAAGCTAATAGTTCCTTCCTTTAGTCTAAGTTTCTTTTATTAAATAATAATAATTTTATCACACTGAACAAATGTTTTTGTCAGTTGTTGTTTTTTAGATTGGCACAAAGAATACTTCAGAAGAATAAATAAAAAATTAACTGCCAATGAATGATAATGAGATAAATTCAAATAAAATATTCTAATATATCAACTTAATCTTAATACCACTTAAAATATATTAAAAACAAATTCAGCATTATAAGCATACAAAATAATCATTATTATTAATATATAAATAATATATGTTCTTTATATGAAAACAATACATTTCCAATTTCTTGAATTATCATTCTATAATTATTATTTATATTATTATTGAAATTAATGCAAAAATTAGAAGTAATTTTTATATATATTGAAATTTTTTAGTGCTAAACCATATGATGATATAGATGATACAATTGATTCTAGTAAAAATTTAAAGTAAGTAAGAATATTTTTATTATACTTAAATTTTAAAATAATAATAAATTAATAATAATAATTTTTGTTCTAGTTTGAATATGAATACAGCTGTTTAATTTTATATGAAAGAAAAAGCTGTGAAAGTGGGAAGAATATTTTGCTTATACATTTTGGTCACAAATATTTTATTATATTTAATATGTTTAAATAAATTTATTTGAAATCAAACAATATATCATAGTTTGAATTTAAAAATTCTAATCTATGGTATTGATATTATGATTATTTTTTAATTATTTTAAATAATTTTTGTTGTTATTCAAATTATGTGTAATTGAGGAATAATCTAAAAGTTATCAGTGAATTAATTGAAAGTGAAGTGATTGATATGATATTAATTGATCAGATGACTATCTCTATCTCTATTATTCTTTAAAATTATTTTTTAATTTTTAGATTTTGAAGATATAAAAATGTCATGATATCAAAATTTAACAACTTAATGAGTTAATCTATATGTATCTTGAGCTTTTAAGAGACGTTCTGGAAACTAAATTATTTTTTAAAAACAGTGCTTTTGAGGAAGTCAACTTCATCAAAAACATTGTCAAGCAAGAAGCAATGAATTGTGAAACTAGTGGAATAGACTTTTCTCGCTAACAGTGTTAATGTTTTATTATTTTGTACATAAACATGTCTAAAAAATAATTAAATGTAATGTATTTAAGTCTACCTTTATTGTTTGAATTGTGATACTTATGATTCTATTAAAATAAGGTCATTTTCTGTAACTCAAAAATTTTTCTCTTCCTTCCATTTCAAGTTATTGAGAGTCTATTGCATGGTTCCCCAATCTTTTTTGACTATTGACCCTTTCAAGAATTCCTTGATCTCCTCCTTTTTTGCTAATACAGTACATTTAATGATGATAAAAAGAATAATCTGGTAAGCCACTATTAACCGATACACCATTTTCACAGAAAAGATCTAACTGCAGTGTGCAAATTTATAACATCCTGAATTGTCATATACAAACCCGTTGGTTTTTAATAAACAGTTTTTCAACTGACCCCTGAAAATGCCTTATCAATCACTTTGAGGATCCCTAATCTATTGTAATATGAAACTAATATATTTTTTCAATTTTATAAATCTAGCTATCTGATTCAAAATTTCAGCATATTTTTCTGAATACAATTATTTAATAAGAATTCAATAATTTTTAGCTGTATTTCTTATATTTACACTAAAAATGTTTATTATTTGATTACTTTTTCATTGTTCCTCATATTAATATTGTTGAATTTTCAAGGAAAAAAATGTTTTTGTGATTTTATTTAAAAATTAATATACTAAGTTTAATAAATCTTTGTTTTTATTGCCATGAAATTATTACAATAAGAAGACTGAAAATATTTAATGTATATATTATATGAAATTTTTGGCTAGTCAATTTCTTAAATTCAATGTCACTGTTGGCAAAGCACAACTAATTCATAAAACATTGTATTTTTATTTTTTGTATATCATATTCATCTTTTTTATATCCTTATCATGAAATATGAAAAAAATAATAATAAAAATTTTATTGTCATCTTTTTCAAACTTTTCTTTTATCAATTTTAACAATATATATCTCTTTTTAAATATTTTTATTTTTGTAAATTATTTTTGCCAAATATTCATATAGTTATTATACAAAAGTACATATTTTGTTTTATCTTCAATTAATTAATTTTTAATAAAATTTCAACATAATTTACATAAACATATCAGAGGATCCAGGTGGAGGGAAATGATCTGGATCTGGTCTAGGATTAAAATATATTATTAATATATAATATTTAAAAATAATAATCTTGTAATGCATTTTTAACATTAAGAACATACCCAAAATGTCTTGGATGAAAACCTCCTGGACCAAATGGATCAAATCGAGCACCAGGTGGAATAGCACCTCTAAATAAAAAAATTATTTTATAAACATAAGTTCTATAATTAACTATTACAAAAATATTTAAATATATAATACATAATATTGATTGATTATATCAAATAAGCTGTTGATTATCAACTAAAAATAAAAACCCAGCAATGTGTTGTGTAGCTTTCCCAGCAAAAAAGTTAAAATTGTATGTGATACCATCTGTTATAAAAAATTTCATATTATTAATTATTATAAAGTGGCAAAATTAATTTGAGACTACAGGTGAGTTTTATAACAAATTGTAAATATTAATGAAGATTTTACTCGTTATTAAGTCCAACTCCACTCAAGATATGACACAACAGTCTCTATCCTCTCCACCCATTTTAACCACCAAAATTTAACATGAATGCCCCCTAATACAAAACTTCCTGCAAAATTTCAGAAATTTTCAACAAAAGGCACAAGAGTTATTAAGCTTTAAAGTGGGTGAACAAAATTGTGTCCCCCTCCACATACAGAAACATCCATACATACAGAAAAAACCCCCAACTTTTTTTTGCATTTCTTGACATTTCAAAGTCTGCCCAAAAACATTGGTAAAAAAATTAACATCCTATTGCCATACTTTTCCTCTGTTATACACAACAGCTGGAAAAGTGAAAATGGAAAAATTTAACATTTTTATAAATTTATAATAAATATCATTTGAATTTCTAAATGAAAGAAATTTGCTTATTACAAATGACCGATGATTTAACTAATAATACTGTTAATATATATACATGATAATAATCATTTAGCATGATATGTTATGCTAAACTTTAAACACAATAAACAAAAAACTGTGTCTAAATGTAAAGATACACTTACATAAGAAATATACATTATATGATGGGTGATCGGTTAACAATCATATTCCAAGACCATGTTCACTACCCAAACTGTTCGTTAACTAATTATCGATTTACCATAGATTTTTAAGGTAATTTGATTAATGTGTTCTGGAGACCCCAAAAAATAAATAAAAAATTATATACTTTCTTACTATGTTTATTTACATATAATAACAAACTAAAAGCAATCTCTCCATTTTTTCATGCATGGCACATCTTTGTTTCTCAATGTGATTTTTGTTATTCCTTTATCTGCTTGAGTCTTTTTGACTATATCTTTCTTAGCTAAAATTGTGCTTACTGTTGAAGATATACTGCCTGGCAACATAGCCAAGGTAGAGTGGGAAGATGTCTATTATCTCTTGCTTAATTTCTATAGTGAACACAGTTCTTGACATTCCACTCTTTTTAGAACCCATAATATTATCAGTTTTCTTATATAAAAAGTTCAGAAAAGCACTTACAAAATTTAGAGAACAGAAATAAACTAGTGCAAAAAAGGTTATGTATACAACTGTGAAAGTCTCAATTCCACAGACTATTCATAGATGCCATTAAAATATAGTTTTACAAATGTTAAATGCAGCTTGCTTCTTCTTGTGTTTGTTCTGTGAGGTGTTCATTATCTGAATATGTGTTTGTTGTCTGATTTGTTCGCAGTCCAAGCTGTTCATTAACCAATCACTCACTGTATTCTGTTACTGAATTCTGTCAAAGCATTTTTATATTATTTTGATTTATTTCAGGTTTCAGCTTGAGATGTTATAAAACCAACTGAATTAAATTTATTTACTGTTATGAACTAGTTTATTCTGAATGAAAATAAATAGTTAATTCTGAATAAATTCAATAAGTTCTATGAATAGAAAAAGATATTCATTTGAATGTTTAGAACTGAAGCTTTTGAAGCCTAAAATAATTTGATTGAAAATGTTTCAATTAAAAATTGCTGACTTATTGATGTTCATCACTTTTTGTTATATTTTTATGAATCATTTCAGAATTATATAAAGTGTCATAATGATGATAATATTTATTAAATTAATAGAAATTTTAACAAAAATTACATTGCACTTGAATCTCTATTCAAATGCAATATTTGTACTGTTTCCAATCCAAAAGTTCTGTTTTTATGAATTGTCATATGAATGAAATTTGACTGAATTGAAACTAAAAAGAAGAAAGTAAATCATAGGTTAGATTTCAAAAAATGTTCATAAATTTCAGAAATTATTTGTTAGGACAATTTACATAATTAATAAAAATTATTCATTTAATAATTATTATATTAATATGCTTAAAAAAAAGAAAGCAAGGAAAAGAACACAATTAGAAAGTATAATCAGAAATGAAACTAGTAAATGTGCATACAAACTTTTTCTATAGGCATAATAAATGAGTCATAATGTATTTTTTCCTCAGTCTTCATTACAGATCAGAATCTTGTAATATTTATTATTCATTCACGCATTTGAATTCCAATTGTGAATTTGAAGTAATATTAATCTCAAATTTTAGTAGATTAACTATCATAATTTATGTTATTCTGGTCTTACTTTGTGTTAATGACAATAAAGAATCATAACGAATAGTAAATGCATAATTTCTAAATCATATTCAGTTAAAATGAGATCAAGAGGCATCTTGGCACAACATGGAAGCAAAATGCTCAAAACAAAAGATTGTGGAAGAGGCTTGGGGAGACCTTCATCATGCAGTGGATTGATAACGGTTGATGGTGATGATTCAGTTAAAAATAGGAAATTTTTTCATTCTTTCAATCAATTGCAGTGATTCATGCTGCAAATGCATATGGAGTCTATATATCATCTGGTAATTTATATATATATATACACATACAGTCCAGTTAAATGTTACTATACTGTCTCCTAAATAATTGTATTCTAAATTTCTAATGATTACTTGAGATTGGATCTTTCTTAACTCTTCAGTGTCTAACTTATGAACTTGTCTGATTTTATATTGCAAATGACATGACTTTCAAACTTAAATACTATATATAATCATCATCATCTGAGGTACTTCAGTATAGAGCCATATTCAATTTAGTGTTAATTTTAGGAGTGAAGTAATGAAGGTGCTAAATTGAAGTTTTGCTGTATACATAATATATACAAGCTGAACAAAAATCAAAATATTCATGACTACTAATGATCAAATTCCTATCTATTTACATAAAAAAAAATAAAGAACAGCATTCTGTTATTCAATTGGAAAAAGTCATTAGGATCAAAATTTATACACAAGTAATAGCTTTTCCATAACATACCTTAATGAAATGAATTCTGTAATGGCTACTCTATGTTAGCTATACTAAAAATGTTTATCATTTTTATGTAAATGCTAATAATTTTTTACACTGCAAATATTAAAGCTGTATAATATAATTATTAAAGCTGTATATAATAATTACCCTTAGGACATATTCTACTAACAAAGTTACTAAAAGTGGTAGTCTGTGATGAGTTTCCAGAAAGATTTTTGTATGAGATGCACAAATGAAAAATAATAATTTTTCAGTTACTATTTACTTTTTATTTTGTTACAAATATGTTTTCATATTATTCATAAAATCCATTCCTTTGAACTTTACAATTACTATTATTTTATTCTCCATGAAGCTACATACCCATGTGAAAAAAGATAATAATATCGCAAATATGATACTAGTCTTCAACATAGTGGTTTGATATTTTCTTCCTATGTCTATCTCAAATAGTTTTTAGTTGTCTGTATGAAATAATGCTCTTAAAGGATAAATATCGATGAAATAATAAATATGCTCCACACTATTCATGATTCATTCAGAATACATTACCATCACAAAAATTTGAAATTCAAAAAAGTTTACAAATGAGAAAATAATTTTGTTTCTCTATCAGAAGTTTACATATGATCTTTTTTTAAATGTTTGTTGAGCCTGTATTGTCTAAAACATGTTTTTATGTCATATATTCTTATCATTGACAAGTCCTGGATTAAGAAAAGAAAGTATCCAATAATTACTATTGCAAAAAGTCAAATGTAACAATGCAAAAGTTTACTAAGAATAATATGCCATGCTTTGACACAAACAGAAACCAGTGATTTGCAATAAAATGACAATTCCACTCATTATGTGACAGTATATAAAAATGTTACTCTCTTCATACTATTAAAATCTTTTTTAACAATAATATCCTCTATATAACTTCATCTGTCTGAACTTCTAGAGATGCTCAAAGAACATGGTAACTTGTTATCTTATGGTGACTGATAATATAGTTCATATGTAATTCCACATACATTTTACTGATAGGATATGGAAATTCCCAAGACTGTGAGAGCAGTGAATCAAACTTGGAGATTATATAAAACATTGATACATATATGAAATTTCTATTGTTATTTCTAATTTCAGGAAAATAAAATTGCAAATATCTTTTGACTTGTCTAATAATTTTATAATTACCTAGGAAGTTGTCCAGGAATACCTAGAGGTGGTTGGGCTCCAAGTCTAGGAAATCCTCTTGGATCCATTAACATACCACCATCTTTCAAACCTAATGGATCTAAATCACCTTCTCCTATACGCAGAGGATTTTGTGGTCTACAAATAATAAAAATTTAATACATTTACCACTACATATTTTTCAATGCATTCAGTACTAAATAAAATTATTAGAATTTCTTTAAATTACTTTTTATGATTGTATAAAAAAAAGCAAAAATATGTTATTGATAAGCAAAAATGCATAAAATATTTCAAATATAAAAATTTCTTTCTATTATAAACACCTCATAATTTTATTGTTGTTGAAAGTACTTGTGAAGAATATATAACTCCTACACAAAAAATTAGAATATTCACCTAACTGAAAGTTTAGTGTACATTTTCTTGTGAACAACACAGATTACTTTTTTTTTTACCCTACATAAACAACGTCTATGTATATTTATTATACCCATTAATCAGACAAATTAACTCAAACGCTTTTTTGTTACAAATGGAAATGAAATTTCAAAAAAATAGAATAACAGTTTGACCATGACAAAAAATTAGAATATTAGCAAAAACAGCCAAACAAACACCCATAAAAAACTACATTGTAATGCAAATTTCCATATTGCTAAGCAGAGCAGTATAACAATACAATATGGGGCATAAGCACGACATCAGTGACAGAACTAAAAATATTACCATAGCCTTATACAAACTAGGAAAAAAACAAAAATAAATTGAGAATTATGTAAAATGCTCACAGCCAACAGTCTAAAATACTGAAACAAGAAAACTGTGTTCAAGTTTTAACTAATAAATGCCAGAAATGTGGACATAAACGAGCGATGACTGCGAGAAACTTGAGAAGGATTGTTGTGCAAAACCACTTTACAAGTGTTAAATACTTGTATGCACAATGGAGTGAACGTTAGTAGCCGAACCACATGCCAAAGGTTGCACGATTTACACTTCAACTTACATGTTCCCAAGATGAAGCCATCTCTAACGAAAAAGCAACACCAAGCGAGTGTCAGATAGTGCAGATAGAGGCTCATGTGGGGACAAGACGACTGGAATAATGTTCTCTTCAGTGACGATTCCCTGTTTTGTCTCTCCTGTGGTGACCAAGGTCCACGTGTATGAAGAACAACCAAAGAGGCCTTCAAAAAGAACTGTATGAAGAAATCTGTGAAGTTTGCATCGTCTGTCATGATCTAGAGATGCATGAGTGCTAACAGCGTAGGACAACTGTGCATTCTTTGGGAATGTGTCAATGCACAGACATATCAAGACATCTTAGAGACATATATGATACCATCAGCAAAGGATTTAGTTGAGGAAACATTTCTATTTCAACAAGATGGAGCATCCTCTCATACTGTGACGTCAACAATATGTTGGTTACAAGAACAACAGATTGCAATCCTGCTTTGGCCAAGCAATTCTCCAGACTTAAACCCCATTGTCATAAAACAATGACTTAATGAATGGTGCCCAACTTCTAAAGAGGAACTAATGATGTGCATTTGACACATTTAGAACTGCATCATCAGAAATAAATGAGAAGCATTAATCTGCACCATGTCCGACAGATTGTGAGCAGTAATTATGGCAAATGGCGATGCCATAAAATATTAAGTTTATTTTGTTGTATTTCCTATATTTAACCCTGTTAGCTATTATTGTAATTTTTTGTCATTTCCATTTGTAACAAAAAAAAAAAGTTTTGAGTTAATTTGTCTTATTAATGGATATAATAAATATACTTAAGCACTGGTTATACAGTGTTGAAAAAGTTTCATACTCTGTGTTGTTCATGAGAAAATGTACACTAAACTTTCAGTTAGCTGAGTATTCTAAAGTTTTGTCTAGGAGTTGTACATGGTTTATTTTAACAAAGTTTTGTTATTTCTCTTGATTTAAAAGTCCATAACACTTAAAGACATCTTTGGAATACACATCAGTTAATAATTTTGTGTATGTTGTTATTCTCTAAATTGTGATTCACTCAATTTTCTCAAATACAGCTCAAAAAGAATCATCTAGACCAGTAGTTCCAAAGCTTTGTAAGATTATTCACTTTTTTATAAAAAAACATATTTTAGTGTACACCTATTTTCAGCTGTTAGCTTTTAGTCATTGATTAGTAAACTATAATAATAATAATAGTAAGCATCTGAGGCACCTTATATTATTTTTGTCATTTTGTTAACTTGTAATTGGATTTAAAATTGATATATAATCTGCTTCATCAAATAACTTACTTCCAAATTACTTTCATAAAATTTATTTTTGTAATTTCTTGCAGAGTCTCTCCTTGATTTTAGACCTTATTTTGTAAATCTACAAGAAATTACAAGAATAAATTTTATGTTCACCTACTTGAATCTGAAACATTAAATGCAATTTTACAATATGTTTGAAATTTATTTATTATTTCATCATATTTTTTTACTTTTCTTCACATTTATATAAAGTTAATTTTTTTATTTTATAGAGGGAAGAAATCTTTATTTTATAAAGATTTCTTCCCTCTATATATAAGCAATAATGTTCAAAAATAGTTGAAAACAAGCTTGTTTATATGTAAATTTGACTCCAATTTATTCCAAATGTGTTTATACTTGTAATACAGAGACCAATAGAGCATTTTTTGTTGTTCTTATTTAAATTTATTTTAAAAAATGAATAGATATTTTTCCACTTACAATAAAATTAAAATATTGATCATCATCTGATTAAGTTTATTATTTCAAGCTTTTATTTATTCATTTATTTCATTACTTAATTTAAAATTGTTCTACCTTATAATATTTTAAAAGAAACTAAGTAAAAAATTTGAATGTTTTGAATTAGTGCTACTAAAAAAGAGTTCAAATTTTGGACTTTGTTCTCCTTCACAATATTATATAGGGTATAATCATCAATAAACTTTGAATTTTATTTCAATATTTTCACAATTTACTGAGTATTTTCTTAAATAATAAAAGAATATAATCATGTTAAATATTAATAGTTTTATTTATATTTCCAAATATTGTTAATAAGAATAAGAAAGTATTATCATTTTATTGTAAGGAACAATGTTGCTATATATGAAATAATTTAGCTTACTGTGAATATAAATCAAGTACTAACATTTTGTATTAATTTAATAAAATTTATAAATAACTTACTGTCTGAATATATCACTTCTTAAAGGATCAGATGTAACTGGATGATCTTGGGATGTCACAGGTATAGATGTTTGAGTTTTTTCACCTTCAATATCCACAAACATTTTGGAAAGATTTTGTTTTATTTCTTTTACTTGTCTGTAAGCACTAAAAAATATAAATTAATAAATTAAGTTTATTATTTTAAATTAATTTTACTTATATTTTTTTCACATAATATTTTATATACGAATCTATGTTATATATAAAATAGTATCATAAATTAATGTTAGTAATTTGTACTGCTGTTTTATACAAAAGATTCAACTTTAAAAAAATATCAATTTTACCTATTTTTTTTTATGCTTATCTTATCAAAATATACATACAAAAACTTTAAGATATTATTTTATGATACAGTTGATAATGTAAAGAATTCTGTTATATAATAAACAGGAAGATATTTCTCAGTAATTTCTTTCATTATTGTAAATAAGGAAAACAAGCTGCATAATGATTATTTTTAAATCTATTGTTTTGTTAACAATACTTATAAAACATGAGCTGAAATGAAGTCAGAAGGCTGAATGAAAGCCAGGAGTCTCGCCTTGATTTTAGATTTTATTTTGTAAATTATTGCTTTGATGAAGTCTTGGATATTACAAATTACTCAACTAATATTTTTTTTATTTGAAAACACAATTTTCATTCTTTATATCTTACTTGGAAAAACTCAAACAAATAAATCTCTATGTTTACAAAAACTATTATAGTACTTACTATTTTTTATATATAAAACTGAAAGATATGGAAATTAATGTTGAAAATTCTTTATTTAGTTTTGAGAATGTGGACAAGCTTTAGGGATTTTTGTTCTTTTATTTCTTTTTTTATGTTAATAATAACTTATCCAAATTCTTATTTCCTTCTCAAGATTCTAAATTAGTTCTAGCACAAGTAAATTATTATAGCTAACATTTTGATAATGATATCATAATTATTATAATTTAAATAATAGTAAAATTACAAAAATCTAAAAATTGTAAAAAACATTTATTTTAAGATTTTTGTAATTTTAGTATTATAACATTGTAATTGTTTATCAAAAATAATTACTGAAATTCATACAAAAAGATATTGATAAAACTATGATGTCAAAAAGCTGTCTATGTGTCTTTTTTGGGGTAAAGAACCTATTAGGCTAAACTATGCCAGGTATCAGCTACCAAATGGCTATCATCACATACTATATTATGCTTTCTCATCAGCTAGGCTGTAGAAGTAATATGCTATGTCTTATATGTCTTGAAAAAAGAAAATTATCTAGAAACAAATAAGTATTTAATTAAATGAATTTTAATATCATATTTCTTGTATTTTTGTATTCTCAATTGCAGCCTGCTTTACAGTGCATATCTAATAAAATTTACAGTTTATGTATACAAAAAATAGTTACCTGGTGAAATCTTTGTAATCATCTGAAACATGATCACTGATTTTAATTGATGCACCTGAAGCTTTATTTTTACTGACATTCTAAAACAAAAAAAATACTTTCATGTATTTAAATTTAAAACAAAAATTTTGATTACAATTTAAAAATTCTTCAATTAAATACAAATAAATATATAAAAATAGGGAGTTCTTATTATAATTAATAAAATTTAAAAACTTTTTAATTATAAAAATATTTTTTATTTTAACTTACCTCATTCAAAATTAATCAGAATCCATTTATGATATTAATCAAACACCTGATTTATTTTATGGTTAAATCAGTATTCTCTATCTGATTTTAATGTTTCAGAATCCATTTATGATATTAATCATAAAGAACTTTTAAATCATCATACTTTTTTATAGTCAAGTTATATAGCCATATAATAGGTAACTTGTAAACAAAATTATGTCTTAGAGTTTGAATAATTTCTTTTTTTCTATATTTATCTGATTATTAATTTTACATAATAGCCACAATACTATGGGTATATCTATATCATCGGAGGTAGAATTGAACTGTCTTTTGTTTGCTGATGACATTGTAATATTTTCATATTCACCTTTTGACCTCAGAGGAAGCTTAATCTTTTACAGGATTATTGTAAGTCTAATAAACTATTTCTGGTATTTTTGTGTCAGGGTTTGGATATAATGGAGGGTAATGTCGAAGGTAACACAAAGAAAAAGTGGAGAGAACTAGAAAGCGATGTCCGTTAGANTTTATTTTATGGTTAAATCAGTATTCTCTATCTGATTTTAATGTTTCAGAATCCATTTATGATATTAATCATAAAGAACTTTTAAATCATCATACTTTTTTATAGTCAAGTTATATAGCCATATAATAGGTAACTTGTAAACAAAATTATGTCTTAGAGTTTGAATAATTTCTTTTTTTCTATATTTATCTGATTATTAATTTTACATAATAGCCACAATACTATGGGTATATCTATATCATCGGAGGTAGAATTGAACTGTCTTTTGTTTGCTGATGACATTGTAATATTTTCATATTCACCTTTTGACCTCAGAGGAAGCTTAATCTTTTACAGGATTATTGTAAGTCTAATAAACTATTTCTGGTATTTTTGTGTCAGGGTTTGGATATAATGGAGGGTAATGTCGAAGGTAACACAAAGAAAAAGTGGAGAGAACTAGAAAGCGATGTCCGTTAGACCACAGCACACATTCCAAACTAAACTAACCTGGGCCAGAGTACAACTCCCTTGACGAACATAACAGACCCCACACATAGCAGAGGGGAGGGCGCGACGATCACAAAGACAAAGGTCAGATACACAACTTTCTAACATTTTGAAACCGTGCCAGTAATTTTTAGTAATTCGAACACAAATCAATTATTGTATTTATTCAGACACTTGGCAAATCTCATCATTAAACTGAATAAAATAAAATCATCATCAACTGAATAAAATTTAATGATGAGATTTGCCAAGTGTTTGAATAAATACAATAATTGATTTGTGTTCGAATTACTAATTCTAATAAACTACTTATTAATGAGGCTAAATCCAAAGTAATGGTTTTTCGGAGAGGGGGCAGATTGGGGAATACTACGTTCGCACACAATCCACGACTTACTTTGATCTCGATTAAGACTGTCGCCAGTGGAACATCGTGCTGTTTGCACAGGCAGTCCGCTTGAGAAGAACATGGCTGTTACATGCAATGATAAAACTGACATAACTACTCAATAAGTCACAAACACCAACAAACAAATGGTAGTTTTGGTTAGAAATAAATACTCTTTCTTGCCATATATCTAATAATAGACAGATGTCATCGTCTCTCCAGTTGTCTTTTTATTTCTCTGTTAATAACCCGACACATGTTCTGCAGCCATCTTGTATTTTCTCGCGTGTGTGGGATTGTGGGATCTCTCTTATGACTGGATCTAGTTTCAAGAACTCTCTTGAGTCGATCGCGATTGAACCTCGTTTCAGTCGAGATTGAAACGGTCGAGAGAGGTCACACCAAGGCATAGTCGCTGACCTTGGTCACAATCTAGATCGAAATGCTCGGTGCAAACGGGGTAGAAGGCTGATAAATTTTATTTATCTAACTCTGAGTTGGAGATTGTTTCAACTTACAAATATCTGGATATTTATTTCACTCCACATGGCTCATTTTCCTTTCACCTAGGATAAATTGTTTTTAAAATATAAACTTCAACTTTCTAATTTCATAAATCTTATGGTTAGAATGAAGCAGTCTTCTATTAAGTCATACTTTCAATTGTTTGATTCCTTGATACATACAAGTTTAGGATTTATGTTTCCTATTTGGGGATCATCTCTTGTTAATAAACTAGAGAAGACGCAACTGAGATTTATCTGCTCAATATTCCATATTAATCGTTCGGTGTCTGGACCTGTTTTAAGATTTGAATTGGGCCGTCCACCCATGGCTATACATTTAGTATTGACCATTTTTAGATACTGGATTAAAATTTTAGAGTTACCAGAATTTGATCTTAGAAAGCAGGTTTATAATAAACTACAGACCCCGCCACGCTTTGCTGTGGCTCAAAATGTATCTATTATAAATGTGTTATAACACTTCCCTCGTGGGGGGGATTTTTCGAAAAATTTCTTCTTAGTGTACATTCTGTTGACATACCCTATTAAAATGCAATCAAAAACGCAAAAACCCGCATCTAAAATAGTATAATAAAAGCCAAGTTCTTCACAGTAAGCCTTAATCCTGTCCCTCTCCCCCACGGGGGAATATCGAAAAATCCCTTCTTAGTGTACATTCTGTTGACGTACCCTATTAAAACGCAATCAAAAATGCAAAAAACTGCATCTAAAATAGTATAATAGAAGTGAAGTTCTTCACAGTAAGCCTTAATCTTGTCCCTCTCCCCCCGGGGGAATATCGAAAAATCCCTTCTTAGTGTACATTCTGTTGACGTACCCTATTAAAATGCAATCAAAAATGCAAAAAACCGCATCTAAAATAGTATAAATAGAAGCAGAGTTCTTTACGGTAAGCCTTCCCCGTAAGGCTTACCGTAAAGAACTGTCCATCCCCCATGTTTAACGGAATAATATACAGCCTATGTCCACCCTGAAGTTCCATTCTAAATATTGGTGAAAAAATTTTTGAAATCGGATGAGTAGTTTTGGAGATTACCTGCTGCATCCAAACTTACATACATACAAACATTACTCTTTATTATATTAGTATAGATTGAAATTAACAGGTAAAAATTTTTTGGTTGTAATTTGGTTTTCTTCAGTCGAACGTTTACTGTCTGACTTAGGTTATTCTATTGCCTACTATACTCAAATCCCTGATAAAAAAAAACTCTTTCTAGCTGAACTTTTTCAGTCATTAAAAGATAAATACTCAATATTTATCTTTTAATATTCATTATATTGAGCAAAAGTGTAATTTTTTTGAAATTTCTTTATCTTCCCCATGGACATCCCAATATTATTTGTTATCAAACTTAAGTTACAATATTAAATCTTTAAAATATAGTATTCTAATTTAATAGCAATTTTGATTTTCATAACAACTGCTTATAACAAAGATTTTAATTGAAAAATAATTTCTTAAATAAAAATTCAATTTGAAATTAATTATTAAAATATATAAATAAATATCTTTTACTCATTTTAAATTAAATGCTTTATTAAAATATAAATATTTAACTTAAATGTCTAGTTTCGTTTAATGATTAATTTTCTCAAATAAAATACTTAAAAAATTCTTACTATAACACTTATTAATATGAACTGATCTGATTTCACTATTTTCAAAAGAAACCTTTCACTGTTTTCTGAAATGTATCTTATTGTGTATATCTCTTGATTCTGATTCCAATTAGCAGGAAGAAGTTCTGAACCTTGTTCTTTTGTATCGGGCCACTAGATAAAAAAAAAAAACAAGCATATGAGAAAAGAATGTTCAGTATATTTAATTATCATTGAAATTTTAACTTGTACTATTTATATTTAGCACAGTGCTATAATTATTGATGAAAATGATTCACTCTACACTGTAATAAACACTTAATTTTTTAAGCTACAGAATTCATTCAGTGTAATATACCTGCTTAACACTGATTCAATATAATGTGGTTTGCTTGAAGCCTAAAAAAAGCTCAAAATTTACACCAATTCAAATTATCATGGCATTTCATTGATTTGTATATAATACGATTATTTATGAATATGAACCAATCAGAAAATCATCGTAGCACTGTACTTCCCTTAAATCTATGTTTGTTTCATGCAATTTTGGAAAAAATATATCATCATGGATGCCACAGGAAATATTGACTTCACTTAGCAAGAACTAACTGATAAATGCATGAATGAAGTATGGAAGAAGTTATGGCTGAAGGTATCAAAGAATTCTCGACGACAAGAGCGCACCGCTGTATCCTTAGGTTGACAATTTGGTCAACCTAATCAATACAGAAGGACTAGGAGGATGGCCAGATGGCAAAGTGGTCAAGGTGGCAGCCTACCACTCCAGGGATCCGGGATCAAATCCAGACAGGTCAAGAAATTCCCAGGAATTTTTCAGAGGGTGGTTTGTTCAGATATGTCAGGCCCCATCCCTCATCACCCGACTGCCCCATTGGGGGCCTGGCCGAACCCATAATGGGCTTACTAAGAGAGGCTCTCTTAGTAACCACAGGGTGGAAAAAGTTAAAAGAAAAAAGCAGGACTAGGAGATGTAGACAAGCAGGATATGGAGGAGTTACTGCAGGTTTCTGGTGAGAGCCATACCAACGACAACCTTCAAAAACTGGCAGAATATGGAATTCATGTGGAACTGGAAAATAGAGATTCTGAAAATGAAGAACCCAAAAAATTTCTCTACAGATTTTCTTAGTAAAAGTTTGGTAAGATAACTGAAATAGTTGATCAAATTGTAGCGAATGATTCAGATTTTGAAAGGAGTGCAAAAGCAAAATGAGGCAATTTGGATGCAATCTTCTGCTACCGACATTTGCTTAAGGAAAGAAAAAAATGACAAATGAAACTTCACGACTTTATTGCAAAAGAACAAGAATTTCATAAAAGTCAGGACCTTCATCACAAAAATGAACTTTACATTTCTGTGTGCATTTGTTATTTAACATATATTATTATGCAAATTAATAAAAAAATAACTTAAAATTAAAGTAAAATCTTTGATAGCGTGTTCCCCTTTTCCTATTTACTCTATGTTAAAATGACCTTGTTTAACGCTGTTTCGTTTAGCACTTTGTCGTCTAGGAATGCATCCCCCGTGTTAAGTGGGGTCTTATTGTACTAGATCAGCGTTTCTCAAAGTGGGCGATAACGCCCCCTTGTGGGCGCTGGAGGCTTTCAGGGGGGCAGTAGAAGGCTCAAAGAGAATTGGGGGGGCGTTAAGGAAATATAGAGGGGCGACGGCAGACAAATTCTATATATAAAAATTCGACGGAATATATATAAAATGTTGACATTTTATATATTTTTTATTTTTTATTGAAGGTCACAACTTGAATATTTCTAACACATTGACTTTTATTTTAGCTCAGCGTTTCTCAAAGTAAGCAATAACGCCCCCTTCTGGCGTGATGAATAGATCTATGATAGAAGCAGGGTATTGAACGGTGACCAAAGGCAAAATTGGGGCTGATAAGAGGAAACATTGCATTTAATGGTTTCCAGATGATGAGAACAATGTACAGTAAGGGCACAAAGTGTGAGATTCATAGAAAAGTTTTCCTAAGAATATTTCCAATCCTTTTCTCATACAAGAGAAAATGGGTTAGGGGGAGTTGGGTATAACTTTATGGAACAAAGGGGGCGGTGGATCGAAAAAGTTTGAGAATCACTGTACTAGATGAACAAAATTCTTTGTATAGTTCATATAAATCAGATAATTTTTTTTACTTTTTCCAAAGTCAGAAAATATTGAATTAAAATAATTTTCTGCAAAAAAGAATATCATCTAAAATAGAAATGTCATCAAAAGTAAAATTAAAACTATGTTTTAATCTTACAAATTATCTCTACGAAATTATTTCATAACTGTTTTATCTATATAAATAAAGCTACCAATCAATCTACTTGTTAGTTTGTAAAGACAATATTTTGCACTTTGAACAAATAAATTTTAATTTTGGAAAGGGTTTAAGCATCTGGAGATCCATCTGTGTATGATTAATGTTTGTAATTTTGAATTTAAGCATTTAATAATTGCATAAATAATAAATTGAATACAGAAAATACTTAATTTAATACTTTTGAATTTTTTTTAATGAGTTTGATATAAAGAGATCTTTTTATTGTTTTCTTGATCAACTATTAGACTATGACTATGAAAATTTAATATCTTACAATTTCATTTATTATTTATTATTGCTCTCAATTTTCTTTTTATTTTAATATTTACTAATTAGTACTTGAAATGGAGACTACACCAATCTGCAATATTAGTACTTATTTAAGCAGAAGAGCTAAAAGAACTTCTTCACCTTTCTTTCCATATTGAAAATTACTGTAAGAAAATTTGATGGTCATGTCTGCAAAACTGCAAGATTGACATTTAATTTCATATATACAAATTTCAGATGTGGCCTTTCAAAGATATTTGTGACAGAAGTTTCAATGATTTCATATTTCTGCAATGAAGAAGTATGCTGTTTCTTTTCCTGTTTTTTTTTTTTTTTTTTAGTAATTAAAAATTCTAAGGACCTGTCACACTTATATTTATTTAGTTTGACCTTATAGAATTGAACAACAGTTCATCTTTCAGTTCAGTGGTGTACTATGAAAATGATGAGCTTGAGCTTCTCATAAGTTTTTCTTAGATAGTTTATCAAAAATACTGAATTTTGACACTTGAACATACTAGCAATCATCAATAATTCTAGTAATAATTCCTTATCTTTTTGATCATATTATTTATTTCAATTGTCTTCTTTATTAGATTTTTTAAATTATGATTTCTCTTTTTCAAAAAACATTCATTTTATGAGTATAACATCTAATACAGGAGTGGGCAACCTTTTTAAATAGTGGGCCAAATAAAATGTGAAGATGAATGTACAAGAACAAATTTTTTAGGTTTTTGTGTTTTATAGCAGGCCTGTTCACTATTCAAGGTTGATTACAATTGAAAAATAGCAAAACTGGTCAAAAAGGAGGAGTTCACAGAAAATAATATACTGGACAATACATAACAAATTAGTATATAATAAAAAATTACAATAAACCGAATTACATGTTTATATGTTATTTTCAATGCCATTTACTATTACTATGCACATTTTAAAAGTGACTATACTCTAGACTACACATATTTGGATGCTGAGTTAGTCTACCAGCCATAGGTTGACCATTATATTTATATTATATTATATTATAGACACTCCTGCAGTATATGAAAGTAATTATAAATTATCTGCATCTTAATGTTTTTTCTTTTGCATAATATTGACATATAATTTCATGACTAGTTTTATAATTTAAAACTTTTTGTAAGCATGATGATTAATTTTTATGTTATTTTGTTTATTTTTATTGCAATAAAAAGAGAGATTCTTCTTTGTCCTATAAGTTATTACCTATAAGACAAAATAATATTATTGTAGTAGTCTAATTCAGAAGTTTTAAATAAATATAAACTAAACAACAAACTTAAAAATCTGCTTTACCGAAGCTCACTAACTAACATCAATTATCACTTTCTTAAATACTTTTTGGTAACTAAGGTCATCAGGAGAAGCATTAATGAACTAGTTTGACTGTAACTATATCAATTATGTGGTTGCTAATAGGGTTCTTTTTCAATTATATTCAGATTATTCTATTAGAGAAAATACGATTTTTATTTTTACTTTTGAATTGTTTTTTTAAGCTTAGTGCTATTGCACATTTAATGGTGATATAAATATATTTTTAGACTTTAAAATGTGCCAAAAAGTGAAAAAGACAGTATTTTGCTTTAAGGCAATATTTGCTTTACAGCAGTCTATAACCTAGCCTGCCAAATTAGTGATATATACTTATAGTTTGTAGTCAAGCTAATTCAACATGCTGTAATAAAACAAATTTTACATTTATTAGTTTTCAAGATTAAAGTTTTTCTTTATAATATAAAGATGTTTTCTTTAAGTCGTCTTCGCTCGGAAATTTAATTCGAATACTTTCCCTCGGACTATAGCTCGATCCCGACGATCCAAAAAAGTTTATTCTATTCCAATTCATTTCTTTTTCTTTTAAACCAAATACTATTTGAAGAAGTTGATATTCTTTTTGAATAAATTCCACAGTAAGTAATTAGAATGATTTTATTAATGTTTCAATTTCTTTGATTCTGTCAATTAGCTTTTCTGTACTAGTCTTAATTAGACTAGTAAAGAAATTCAGATAATATTCATCCTTTTACATCAATTACAATGAAGTATTATTGCTTAATTTTTAACAAACAACATTTATCAGCTTATATATTGTTTTAATTTTCTGTGTTATGTAATTTTTTTGCAACTCTCATATCTTTAATGTATCAATTTGGTTAAGGTTTTGTTGTTATTGTATTAATTAACAGTGAAATCTTTCTGCATTGGTTTGTTGTCATAATAATAAAAAGTTATTTCTTTTCTAAATATCAGATAATTAATTACATTCTTATGAATTATATATAAAACCAATAGTATTTATTCTCTATTAATTTGATTTCTAATATGAAATAAATTCTCTTATTTATATAAATTTTTGAAGGACTAAGCTTACTTTTTCATCGAGTCCGACGCATTTTTTACCTCCGCTAATTATTTCCCAATGAATAAATGCGACAAGTGCATCTGTCTTAGACCTGAGCGTATCTTTAACGGTACTAAAACAAATTTCCAATCCAACAGACATTTTCTCTGAGATGATCTATCAATTTCACTTTTTGTTTATATCGACGACAACGCCATCTCGACGACTTTTAATAAATTTAGAAAAAGAAAAAAATAATAATTAATATAATTCAAATATACATCTATTTAACTTATTATTAATTAAATAAATAACTCGAAATGTATTAAAATATTTCTCATTTACGATTTGAAACATTTTTAAAAAAATAATTATTAATATATGTACAGTTACCATGGTAACAATTTATAAACAAGATTTTATTCGAATGCTTAATTCTTAAAATTTCAATAGCTTTTTAATATCCAGCAAGTATGAAAGCGGCTCATTTTCTCCCGAGTTTAGTAAAATATGATGATCCCATACTTATTTCACAGAAACCGGAAGACGAAACAAAAGTAGTTGTAAGTTATCATTGGAGTCGATCAATTTTTTCCTTTTTCTTTTTTTTATGTGGAATCAGTTCATATTGCTCAGTTTGAATTTTAGCGCTTCTTCTATTGATTTGAATTTGTTGTTTCGCTTGGAATCACGGCGACGATCATCATAAGTAATTGAAAACCGAGTTAAATGACCGGCTGTTAAGATTCGGTCTACCGCTCTGGAGGATCCGGGTTCGAATCCGGACGGATTGAAAAACACGACGAATTTCTCGGAGTACCGTTTCTTATTATCTGGCCATCTTCTGTGGACCTGGCCGAAAAAAGCCTTCCTAGTGTACACAGGCCGGGTAGAATTTTAAAAGTGTCATTGGATATTGAATGAAGGATAAACCGTAATCACAGAGCCCTACACAGTGAAAAACGTCAACCTATCACTTTAGATGTCCATGATTTAATCAATTAAGAATTTCAAAGTATGATTTCACGATTCAGAATACTGTATATCTATACTCCTCACCTGGCCAGCCTATTTTTTGACTTTTCCCTCTTTTCGGAGTACTAAAAGTTTCTTTTTATCATACTCATTATAGGTTCGGCCAGGTCCACAATTGGAGCAACCGGGTGGTGAGCCCGACAGACTCGGAACAGATCGTCCACGAAAAATTCCTGGGGTTGTTCTCCTAGATCAGATCTCGGCTGCGACCGGATGGTCGAGCGGTCAAGGTGGCAGCCTACTTCTCTGGGGGACCCGGGTTCGAATCCGAACGGGTCGAAAAATCCCTAGGAATTTTTCGGGGGGTGGTCCGTTCGGATATGTCGGGCCCCGTTCCTCACCACCCGGCAGCCCCATTGTGGGCCTGGCCGAACCCATAATAGGCTTGCAAAAAGAGGCCCTCTTAGTGCCCACAGGGCGGAAAGTGTTTAAAAAAANAAGTATAAAAGCTCTCATAAAGTATTTTTCTGAGGTCTGTCTTATCAGGTAAATTACTGTACACAGTGTATTCATTAATTTTCATTTTCATGTAGTAAAGGCTCTATGCCTTCATAAAGGACGTACTTTTCCTTTGTTTAAGGGTATTTGGGCAGTTTATTCTCTGTTATATTCTCAAGTAAACAATACATACAAGTACAGTACATTATTTTCTGAGGAATCACTCGTACTTATTTTTTTTAACCCTATACCCGATAACCCGGCATTTTCACAAACTCGGCCACCCTTCGGTCCACATTAGGCCGAGTTTTCGAGGTTCTACTGTATTACTGTATTTTCGAATATTACGTGAAGGTCATCATATCTTTCATTAAATAAATGGTTTTTAAAATTCGCGGACACCGGATTCAATTCTCGGGCTTTCAATACATCGAGCCAAAGATAAGCCTGTGTAGTTCTTATATTTTCAATCAGGTAAATGATTTTTGCTTAGATTTTCCATATTAAAAAGTATGGTGTTATGTTTGGCTTTCTTAGGAAGAATCTATATATAAACCAAATTTTTTAATTGAAGTATTTTAAGTAAGTTATAAAAATTTCGCAACTATTCAAGATATTTAAAATTATAATTCTAATTTAAAAAACAAATTGTGAATGAACAAGATACATTTTCTATAAAATCAGATTCGAGATGTCCTGTATATAATACGTTAACTTTATAACAAATTTTTAATGCGTTTTTCTACAAATGTACTAACTGATATATGTACAGTATTTACAGTCAGTCATACTTGTAGTCATAATGTATGAAGAAATGTAACTGTTTTACGTACACCACAGAAATATGTAAAACAGAACACAATTCCACAATGAAAATAACGCGTGTTTATACTCCATTCTCTCGTCTTATTTCGTCCACAATTCACTTCGGATAATGCAGAATCTCCATTAATCGGGATTTTTGTGTTATAATTATGTATTAATTAAATATTACGTACAACAGCACTTGGAAATTTGTAAATCTCGAATATGTTTTATTTTTTGAATTACTTTCAACGTGTGGGCACTAAAAGGGTCAATGCATGTAAAACTTTATCGCTTCCATCATCTAGAGCTAATCACAGATAATTTAAAGAACACTGGGTTATATTATTTCGGTAAATGTTATGACTATCTCGAATGGAGTCTTCAACTCCAATATAAAATGAATTATAATAAAATTATAAATGGATTTTTACAGATGAACTTATCCGTCAAGTGACATTACATAGCACTGAACGAGGCTTATTATTATTGAGAGTCCGAGATGAACTTCGCATGACTCTTTCAGCTTATGAAACTCTTTATGAAAGCAGCGTAATTTTTGGAACACGGAAAACGTTGCAAGCTAAACAAGATATAGAAGAAACAGATAAAATAGTAAGTTATCAAAATTTTACAATAATTTTATTTAAAATTTAAATACAGTGGGTGATCGGTTAACGAACAGATCGGATAACAAACAAATCGGATAACGAACACTTTCGCGAAAGGTTTTTATGATCGGACAACGAACACATGTTCGGATAACGAACACTTCACTGAACAAACACAAGAAGAAGCGCGTAAATAACGAATACCGATTGGTCTTCCTTTGTCTCAGGCAACAATTCAAAACTCTTCGGAGCGCGGGATACGTCGACAACGACGTTCTACCCAGTATATACTGATCGAATAGTATTCCCCCGAACTTTGAAACTCTCCCTTGTAATTCCAGCCTTTTATATTTCTGACAGAAACAATTCTTTTACGTTTTCTTCTGAAAATACGGATTTATGCCGATATCTGCTATTAAAGATCTTTTGAAGAAGTGGGAGGATGTCAGAACAACGGTCTTAAAATGGCATCCAAACCAGGTTGAGGTTAATAGGCCTATAGATCTCTACAATTACAATGCTATTAATTACTTCTGAAAAATCATGAAGAAGACAGAAAAGCAATCGACATTGGACAGATTCTTTAACCCCCACAAACGGAAAAACACGACTAATAAAAATGCAAGCCCGTGTATATATGTATTTTTATTATTACATGTGAATAAACGTAGTAAGAAAGTATATATATTTTTATTTTTTGGGGGGTCTCCAGAACGAATTAATCAAATTCCCATAGAAACCTATGGTAAATCGATAATCGGTTAACGAACAATTCGGATAGCGAACAAAGTCTTGGAACATATATATATATATATATTAATTCATCTACACTTGATTAAATATTCTGGAAATTATTATTGTCAATATCATTGATATTGATTATGGGAATCAGAATTACGGGAAAAATTTTACCAATAAATTTTAACTAGTAGCGCGTGATCCTATGGGCAAAAAGAACAATTTCTTGGGGTCTCCAGCTGGACAGGAGTCCAAATCAATCTTCTATAAGAAAATACTTTTAGAAAAAAATTCCCCGAGGAAAAATGTCTGAAGCCAGCATTGTACTGTACATGGGGTTCCATAATTCAAATTGGCCTAGACCCCATGAAGCTATAACGCGTCACTTATTTTACAGAGAATTGTTAAATTCTAAGAGTAGAACTGAATGTAATCAAATAAAATTATCAAGTTATATGCCGAATATTTATCTCGCAATCAGATCTATTTGAAAATTTTCTTTCGTATTTATTGAACATTTTATAATAATATGACATACATTTAAATCAGAAGTTCTGCAATCGCTATATCGTAACAGTAAAGCCATTAAGAAAGATATGATTCTTACCTTAAGTTCAACGGGAAATTATTTATCGAGTCATCCTCGCAACGCCGGGCTGCAATTTTTATTCTATTCGTTGTCTGGGCTAATATGGAGGCTTTTATCTTTAGGCGCTATTCTCTCCGATGCTGCGATCATACGATTCGTTTTTTGCCTGCCGAAGCTTGCTGCTTGGTCATACACGGGGAATAATGCCTTCCGAGAGGTCTTTTAAAGATAATTCAGGCGTTAAAGACGTGGAGAAAACACGGAAAATTCCACATGGCTAGCCCGTTCTGACTAGGCATGAACCCACGATCGAACTTTCAGTGTTCAGGGAATGGAACCGCTTGGCCATACTCAGAATGTAGTGTATAAAGAAAGATTTTAATATTTTTTTAATATAAAGGCCATCATTTGTGTGTGTGTGTGTGTGTGTGTGTGTGTGTGTGTGTGTCTGTGTCTGTGTGTGTGTGAATTCTCTATAACTTCTATTTTTGTCCACTCCAGGTGAAAATTTGTTTTGTTGCTCTTTATGTTTCAACGGATAGTGTAAACTAATTTGTAGAAATATTAGCAGCTGTACTTGAATTTCTTAAAATCTCTCCTCTTCTCAATTCTTCAATTTCTACTTTATCATAAAAAGTATTCTGTCATGCTTGACGGGTACTTATATCTAGTATTTAGATAATCGAAAAATCTTTTTTTATATAAGTTTAAAATTATAAAATTTACATAATTTTTGTAGTTGGAAAAACTTAGAAGCACCAGAGAAACTTTAAATCGACAAGTAGAAGAGCTTACTGCCAGATGTACAATGATTGAAAAAAACGCTAAAGAAAAGCGAGAAACCGATGAAAAGAACTATACTAATGAAATACAGTTTTTGAAAAGAGTCAATCAACAATTGAAGGTAATATTGACGACATATGTTATGATTTTAATTTTTACCTTGGGGCTGTACCAGTATATAAATTACATCCGCATTTTTCTTGAAATTTTTACTCCGCCTCCCCTGTCGTCCCAGTTTGTCCAAGTTTCCGTAACGCCCACCCCTCTTCGGACGTCCAACAAAACTCGACCCCCCTTTAAAACCTTTATCACTTTATGAATAACAGATACCATAAATAGAAACGAAACATAGAAGAAATTTCGAGATAAATATAGTAAAATGAAATAGACGGACGTTCCTCTTGTTTGACTTGTCATAACCCCTTCCTCCCTTCTAGTATGGACATCCCTTTTAAATAACACTTTTATAAATTTAAATGTGCAGATACTTGGTCAATATAAATTTCCACAAACTGTATTTTATATTTTATATAGAGTATTAAATACGAAATAATTTGGATTCAGTAGCGAAGCTTCGAATTTTGTGCCCCATGTGAACGGGGCAATAGAATCCCAGTTTCCAACCATACCGCTACAGCATTGCAAAATCTCTTTGTCAACGATAATTCTTTTTCACCTTCATTTTTTAAGCTCTATCGAATTGATATCCGATTTTATATTAATTAAGATAAAGTTTGCGTCACGTTTTCTAAGTAGTTAACTATTGAACAAGAGAGAATTGTAGCATCTACTGGTTGCCCTGTTGACTACTATAATTGATCAGGCTTTTATCATATATCATTTCGCTGGACGAAGTACAGTATTCGATCGTATACAGAATTACTAGTCTACTAAGACTAGGGCAAATGCCAACGAGCCTTCCTATGAACTTTGACTTCTCGGGGACCCTTACGAATACTGATATTAACCATTTCCAATATTTTATACTTTACTACTGTATATGATTGTATACTTTGCTCCCAAAATTTGGCCCCTACTTGATAAAATTGGTCCCCAGTTGTCCGGTATAAAGTTGCATAGTCTTCTTCTATGGTAGCTCCGTCACTGTATAGATTGCTTTGTTAATAATCTAGATCAGTGTTTCCCAACCTTTTTTTTTTTTTGCTATGCCCCACCTAAGCCTCTCTAAAATGTTTATGCCCCCTAACATATACAGCGGCTATACCAGGGGTGGCCAACAGTTTTTGCCCCGGGCCGAATTTGAAAGAAAACTTTTTTCACGGGCCAAACCAGAGGCTGCCCTAGGAAGATTTTGAGATGGTGCGAGATCTCACTGTGGTGTCACCCCGTACAGACTAAATTGTACACAGAGATTACAGATACATTTTTCACATTATCAACATTCTACGCTGTACTTAAGAGATTTGTAATGGAGCGTTAACTCTAAACAAACAGTGAGTTGTTAGCCTTTTTTTTTAGGCATCAGAATTTTGCATCGAGCTATTCGTACTTGAGTAGCAAATATTGAAAGATTAAATGCGGGCCACATAAATTCATTAGACGGGTCGGATCTGGCCCGTGGGCCGTATGTTGGCCATGCCTGAGCTATACGGTTAACTTAAACTCTGGACGAGTCCATTTTCGAATTGCCTCTCTTAACAATCCAATTGCCCCCTGTGAGGCGTGGGCCCCACGTTAGGAAATACTGGTCTAGATAAACCTATAGTTTTCATAAATTGAATCTCATTCGAATAAAGACCTACCAAAACCATAAAGACATAAGATTAAATAAAGGCAACAAATTCAAAACAACATGTAATCTAGTTAGTGTACTTTGGACTAGTGTTTATAACAGTGATATTAAATAAATAGTTCGGGTGTAAAAAGTGATAATCGCCATAATGTAAGTTTTGAGAAAATGCAAAAATTAAATGTCTTAAAGAAGATTTCAGCTTTATTTAATTTAATCAGAATAAAGTGTATGTTACAATTAAAAATTAGATTTAATATTTAAAGTGAAATACATTGCTGTTTAGCTGTTAGCACGCATTATAACGTACTAATGGAAATGGCATTTACAATCTTTTACACCCGAACCCTTCAAATATGTAATAAATATTATATATATATAGATTTATATGAAATATATTTATGATTTATTACTGAAAATATTTTATCGAATGAAAAAGAAAATTTTCACATCTGAAATATTATGTACTGTACATGCTGTATACATACAGTAGACACTTGTTAATCCGGTCAATTCTTGCACAGAGGAATGCCAGATTACTGAGTGTATAGAACTAAAGGTAATGAACTACATGTTCTGTCGCCCTTCCGTACTGATTCTTTTTTGGAGCTATATTTTGTTATTGTTATATTATGCACAGGGATATTTAAGTTTAATTAAAGTTAATGTTACAAGTTTTGCTATATGTATTTTAAATTGAGATAATCGGATACTTGAGAAATCGGATTAGCAAGATTCTACTGCATGTATGTATTGTATCTATATATATGAATGAAACTGATTTAATTTTTTTATTTTTTATTTAAGGCTCAGTTTAACAGAATCGTCGGTACTATAAAATAAGCAACGTAAAGTAAGAATGAATGTTAAATTTAAAAATAAGTATATAATTTTTCAATCTTGACAATGTCTTCGTTGAATTTATTTTCTGTATTTATTAAATAAATTAACAGATTCATTCATTAGTAGTGATGATAATGTAAATAATTTAATGTTATTTCAATTTGTTTTTCAAATTGTATTTATTGTATATCGCTTATTTAAATTATAAATATTTAAAATAATCTAGTGTCTTAGACCAGAAGTGACTCCCCGGCAAGTAAAAGAGTCACTGACTACATATACAAGAATCAAGTTACCGATTTTCGGGGGTCGATTTCTCCGCCCCCAAACACTTATAGGTCTAGTAATTTCGAATATCTCGTGTCGTTCGAAAGAAAATTGTTTTATTAGGTAGTATGCAAACTTTCAAGATTTTGTATAAAGCGGTTGCCGAAATATAAGCAATTGATAAGTGCAAAAACTCTAAAAAAGCTGTATTTTCTTCATCCGGAACTGCAACCGCTCGTAGAGAAAAAACTACTGAGGAATTTGATATTTCTAGAAAGCTCAAATTTCAAACTTAATCCTTTCTCGTTACTGGCGAAACTTTCGGGTCGATAGGCCAAAGGTTTACGATGGTTTCCCATAGAGTTAATTCAGTTTTACGGCTTAATTTTATGCTTATAAGAATAGAATTGCATGGAAACAAATTAATTTTACTCAAGATTACAAAGCTCACATTTATGCCAATTAAAACTTTTCATAACGATTTTACTAAACGGCTTTCAGTAACATGATAATTTAAAATATATTTTGATATAAACATAGATGACGTCATCGTTTCGTTACATTATTGTTTATAACATCGAAGTTCACGGCAATTTCTTTACAGCGATTTTGCTAAATTGTACGATTATAGGCCTACAGTAACATAAAAATGGACTATCAATATTCATGGCCGTCCTTATCCCGAACAGTGTATAGATACAGGGTGGGCCAAAAGTCACTTTACCATTTAAAAATTAAATAACTTTTTTCTATTATTATATTATATATATTTTCTTCAGATTTTTAAAATGCAGAATTTAGAAATAAATTATGGGTAAATTAACGACAGAACAACGTGCAAAACTCATTGAGTTTTACTTTGAACATCAGCACTCCATTGTTCTTACTCAGAAAGCACACATTGTGATTTCCACCCAGATTTCTTTTTATAGGGATATTTGAAACAGCGAGTGTTTATTAATAAGCCGCGAACTCTTGCTGAGCTGAAGGAAAATATTCGTCAGGAAATTTGAATGATAAACAGTCACTTTTCAAGCAGTTAGGGAGAGTGCCATAACTGCTTGAAAGAACTCGCCTATGCGTAGAGGAAAACGGAGGTCATTTAAATGATGTCATCTTTCATGTTTAAACCAAAAATGTCTCCAAGATGCGTACATTATAATATTAAAAAGAAACTTAAAAATAATTAAAAATAAAAAAGTTATTTCATTTTTAAATTGTAAAGTACCTTTTGGCCCACCCTGTATCTATCCTTTCCAAATGTTTCAGCCGAAGCAGTTCTATCACAGGGTGTGGTAGTCACATACGACAAGGCCCTCTGTTCCATCTATAGAATTCTGTTTACCACATCGGGCTAAGGATTGAGAGAATTGTAGAGTTTTAGAATAACCCTAAATTTTCTCACTCCTTAGAAATGAAAATATCGAAAGAAAATATTGTCTCGGCCGAAACAATTTGAAAGGTTAGAAACCTATAAAGCCTTCGGGAGAACGACGGTAGTTAACCTCAACGAAACAGACTATTTCGTCAGGCTGCAGAGCGTATAAAAAGTTATAAAAGAACGTTTCTTCTTCCAATAGTGAGACTAGTAATAATTATCAAGTCTTTCTTAATTATGCACAACTAGCAGAGACTGACATTAAAACAGTTTTCTTTATTTCGCCTCTTTAAGAATGCATTTCGGATTGATAATTTTCTAAGCATTATTCGAACTCACGGCTTTAGTGTCTCCAAAATAACGAACAGAAGGTTAGTTCGTCTTAATATACTTTTGTTATCCACAATGATGGATATAGTGCACAATTTGTACACATCCTAATGGTATAGTTTCTACATATCAGTCTCTTGCACTTACTGGCATGTTTTCCTTGTTTATTTTTTATAAGAAAAATGCCTTTTCTCACAATTGTTAGCTCCTTATTATCTCTCAGAAAAATTTTAACTTCGATATTCCGGTTCATAACATGACAAAGATCAAAATGTAGTTTTTATCGCAAATACAGTATTTTCACTAGTGGAAACCAAAGCTTTCACAAACGAACGATAACTACGAGCAATTGTTTATTGTGACATAGTCACAATGCCGGGTTGCAATTCTTAGTCATATTTTAAAATGATTTAATTCAAGATACCTGAACTTAGTAGTGGCTTGCCCCTGTACACCACACTTTTCCGGTAACAATAGAGTCGTACCGGTCATCTGATAACTAACGTTTGAATTAAAAAAAAACGTCACTTTCGGTTTGAATCAAAAGATCATACATAGTTAATTGAGGTCTCCTGTCTCTAAAGTTTCCACATCTGGTCTCGGATTTCATATAATTCCGTTCTCGGAATAAAGACATTAGGACAATGAAAAAATTTGGAAATAAATGTAGCATTCCTCCGATAGCGTTGTAAGTAAGAAAAAGTCTCAGCGGTCAGGAAATAAAATATCACGGCACGAGAGGTACGAGCGAAAGTTTCAAAGTTGGATCAACACTTGCGGACGTGTCAAATTGATTAAGCGATGACATTAAGAACTTAGGGGAGAGATCGTTTAAAAAGTCAGAAATTCAAGGAGAAAGAATGGTCGTTTCCCCCTAGCTCAGTCTGTGTCGGACTTAATTTTCGTTCGGCCGTATTATAAAGGTTTTTCGCTATTTTTAATATTAATGTTGCATTAATAGGCGAAACCCGCGGCGACCGAGGAATCCTAAGAATTTGATTTATTTCATGCCATGGTCGAAAATGGACGAAAAAGATATTTATTCGAACGAATTTCGGAGATGGTCAAGCCTCGAGACGTAGAATTTAAAAAGATCGTCTTTTACCTCTCCACGGTCGACATTCTGCACCATGTAAATGCAGAAGATAATTTATTTATCAAATTTAAAAAAGAAAAATAATTATAAATTAATTAATTGAAAAAAATTTTAAAAATTTATTTTTTTTAAAAATTCTAATTTTTACGAAATTCGAACATTGTTGACGCGTTTTTTAACGTTTGTTCGAAATACGTCACACATGACGAATCGCAGTTCGATTGTGTTTCTCGTTGCTGTCGGACGTGCTTTTCTTTCGCTCTTGGATTGCGTGCTGTTTTCTGCGGTTTCGTGCCTTTTACAGAGAAGATTGAAGATTTTTTAGGTAAGTCTTAGTCCTTATTGATCCTAGACGTAAGAATTTATTTAATATTACTTGGAGAATCGGTCCCAGAAGACATCTCGGCACATCGTTCGATGGTCGACCGTTTGCGCTTCGGATTCGAATCTTTTAGATTTAAAAAGGCGGCTGCGGTGAGCAGTTTGCTTTTACTCGGAAGAATTTAAGCATTAATTTAAGCTTTTGTTTTCACTGGACTAATTGCAAATTTTCTTTTTTACAGGATGAAGACGTTGGTGCGTTGTTGGAGGCGGTTCCGGCGGAGGCAGGCGGTGGCGCCGGAGGGAGAGGGTTCCTCGGACGACGCGGAACGAGTCTGTCGTTCCGTGCCGTTGGAGGAGCGGGGGCTCGACGAGCGACAGGCAGCGGGTGAAGAAGACCTTCGCCAAGTGCGCGTGGCGTGGCATCCTCCCGGAGTCGGGATGATGCGACGCTACACCCTGGGTCCAGTGCGCTTGGCCGAGGTCTTCGGGGGTCATCCGGCCACAGACCTTGCTGTGGAGGATGTCGAAAGTGACAGCTCGTCCGAGCTGACACTTTCTGTTTGGTCGTGTTCTGCCCGTTCGTCCGCGACGGCGACGCCACCGCCTGGCCGAAGTCTGGACGGGGAGGAGTCGGAGGAGAGAGCCCCCGAAGTCGAGGGACCGTGCTGTCCGTGGTTTAGTTGCTGCGGACGGCTGCGGTTGCCTTGGCCTAGGCGGTGATCTTCTTCGATTTCCTCTTCTTCACCCGGATGCGACTTTCTTACCGGATTCGACACTTTTTACCCGGACATGACACTTTTTAACGGACGTGACCTTTCTTACCCGGACGTGACCCACGGACTTGACACGTTTCTTCACCGGACGCGACATTCGGCCGACCTTTCTTCCCAAACAGCTGTTATGAGGATTGAGCTTCCGGTTAGGGTTGGTTAGGTTAGCCTAGGCTAGCCTAACGAACCCTTCGCTCTTCTCATAACACTGTTCGGGAAGAAAGGCTGTCTGATTAAGGTAATAATCTTGACCTTAGGTAATAAATGAATAAACTTCTCGTTTTCTCACTGCCTTTGTGTTTTGTAGGAACATTTGGGAGGGAGAAGAATCTCCCTCCCCAACTTTACCACGAAGAGGACCATTTATCGTACAAGTGAATATTTTCCGATGGTAAGAACTCTTTCGTTTCATTTCTTAACACATCTTATTCTCGTATCGTAATTTACTGTTTTCTGTTTATAGACATGCCGAAGATGTTCTTCGATCACACACATACACACACACGCACGGACATAACACCACTGTACACGAAGATATACACCGTTTAACCTTTACTCGAATTCTCGCACTCACGCACTTACACGTCAAGCGCCTCGTTCTGTGTAATTCCACACAATGAAACAACCCGAACACACGCTTCCCACAAATCCAACCCCTGGGTCCTCGTCCCGGGAAGTGGAAACGCCAATTTTAAAGATTTTAAAAGACTTTAAATTGGCGGCCGAAGGGGCTCTGGTAATTACAATTTGCACTCATTAGACAGAATTTCAGGTATTCGCTGCAAGAATTGATTTGTGATGACAGCCGAATCCGGATTTTCGACAGTTAACTGTAATTAAAACAAATATGAAAACTATTGAGAAATTACGTGTGTATGTAAGAAAAATAAGAAATGGTTCGATAAATTATTATAAGTGTCAATCTGCTTTTTATTTTATACAAAATATAAAATTAAGAGAAATTCAGTTTATTTGCATATATTTTACATGAGTACAATTTTTAAAAAGACATGGTTTTCAGGTGGATAGATAAATGGAAAATGTCAATATTTTATATTAAACACAAATTTCATTTTTAATTTAACATAAAAATCACTTAAGATAACTCGATTTTTGGCGAAATTAATCTGAATAAGCCAGTGGCGGAGACGCTCACCTTTGGCCCGGCTGTCTGGCAGGAGCCACAAAAATTACCAAAAAATTATATTTAGTGAAGGTGTGTGTTAGAAGTAAAAGAAGTTATTATTTTAGGATTTTATTGTCTTTTTAACATTAAAAATATTTTTACATAAATGTAAGTTGTAACAAAATTGCACCTAGGGCCTCATAATCCTCTCCTGAATTAAGTACTGACATTTCTGCTTTGGTATAACCTGTCAGCATAAAACTAATTAGTAGGAAACTCAATAAAACAAAAACAATTTGAATTGGCTGTAAAATCCTACTTGTGTGTTTTAAGTACATTCTAGAGGGAATGATAATTCGGGATAAATGTTACACAGAAGCTTGTTTCCGTCGCTTCTGTAAAAAAAAAATTTATATGAAGCGAAATTGCAGACGAATTTCATAAACTGTCGGCTTAGCAATTCTCAACTCGGGATGAAACGGGATGGCACGCACGTTCGATGAGAAACCGAACGATTCGTTACAACCGACGACTAACATGCGATGAAAGGTGAAACGTTCGTTGCGAAATGTCCAGTCGATGATGGCAGTTCGAATGGCATTTCTTCCGAAAGCGGATAGGTGTAACGAAAATGCGACAGGATTGATAACGATTGCTTTTCGATTTGATAATCACGCGATTAGGAAATTGTTACGCGGTGTCAGAATGGCCGAGTGGTCCAAGGCGCCAGACTTAAGCTCTGGTTATCGTACGAGGGCGTGGGTTCGACCCCCACTTCTGACAGGTTGTTTTGCTCGAGTGAACATTTATCGCGGTAATTTGAAAAATCTTCTGTACAGTACTTGTCTTTTCTTATAAACAGTTCTTCATAATTCGAAGTCTTGAATGGAATGTTATTTTAACACTCGAATGGCCTGAATTTTCTTCTGACATTTAAAATATGTATGTGTGTACAGTACAGTACTGTACACTCGTTGCATTACACTGAATATTGAACGCCGCGTGTAAGATGAAATTTTACTCTTATTTGTTTTTGATCTCTGAATTTTCGTATGTTACTTTCGGGTCACATTGGACAATTTTCTCCAAGTTGTAATTCCATCTATAGTTTGTTATTTATCCTTTGCAATACAGTATACTACTACTATACAAAGTGTGTAAGCAAAATCCATAAGGATTTCAAAAATAATGGAATAATATATTTTATTTAACAAAGTCATAAGTACAGTGTATNCCACAAAAATTACCAAAAAATTATATTTAGTGAAGGTGTGTGTTAGAAGTAAAAGAAGTTATTATTTTAGGATTTTATTGTCTTTTTAACATTAACATTAAAAATATTTTTACATAAAGGTAAGTTGTAACAAAATTGCACCTAGGGCCTCATAATCCTCTCCTGAATTAAGTACTAACATTTCTGCTTTGGTATAACCTGTCAGCATAAAACTAATTAGTAGGAAACTCAATAAAACAAAAACAATTTGAATTGGCTTGTGTGTTTTAAGTACATTCTAGAGGGAATGATAATTCGGGATAAATGTTACACAGAAGCTTCTTTCCGTCGCTTCTGTAAAAAATTTTATAAGAAGCGAAATTGCAGACGAATTTCATAAACCGTCGGCTTAGCAATTCTCAACTCGGGATGGCACGCACGTTCGATGAGAAACCGAACGATTCGTTACAACATGTGATGAAACGTGAAAAGTTCGTTGCGAAATATCCAGTCGATGATGGCAGTTCGAATGGCATTTCTTCCGAAAGCGGATAGGTGTAACGAAAATGCGACGGGATTGATAACGATTGCTTTTCGATTTGATAATCACGCGATTAGGAAATTGTTACGCGGCGTCAGAATGGCCGAGTGGTCCAAGGCGCCAGACTTAAGATCTGGTCCTCGTATGAGGGCGTGGGTTCGAACCCCACTTCTGACAGTTTGTTTTGCTCGAGTGAACATTTATCGCGGTAATTTGAAAAATCTTCTGTACAGTACTTGTCTTTTCTTATAACAGTTCTTCATAACGCGAAATTCGAAGTCTTGAATGGAATGTTATTTTAACACTCGAATGGCCTGAATTTTCTTCTGACATTTAAAATATGTATGTGTGTACAGTGCTGCACATTCGTTGCATTACACTGATTATTGAACGCGTGTAAGATGAAATTTTACTCTTCTTTGTTTTTGATCTCTGAAGTTTCGTATGTTACTTTCGGGTCACATGGGACAATTTTCTCCAAGTTGTAATTCCATCTATAGTTTGTTATTTATCCTTTGCAATACAGTATACTACTACTATACAAAGTGTGTAAGCAAAATCCATAAGGATTTCAAAAATAATGGAATAATATATTTTATTTAACAAAGTCATAAGTACAGTGTATACAAATTATAGTTATTAAGTTCGGCCTTTCGCTTTTGTGATATTTAAAATCATGTTTTGACTAAAAGATTTTTCTGTTTTAATATTTGATTTACAGACACATGTAGCGTACGAGATACTGTGAGGTATTGTATTGCTTATAAGAATAAAATTGCATGGAAAGAAACGAATTTTATTCAAATTTACGCCAATTAAAACTTTTAACGACGATTTTACTAAACGGCGTTCATGATGATAATTTAAAATTTATTTTGATGTAAACGTAAATGACGTCATCGTTTCGTTACATTATTGTTGACGGCAATTTCCTCTACAGCGATTTTGCTAAATTGTATCAGAATAGGCCTACATTAACATATAAGTGAACTGTCTATTTTCATGCCGTTTTTATCCCGAACAGTTTGTGGATATCTATCCTTTCCAAATGTTCTATCACACGGTGTTGTAGTCACCTACGAGAAGGCCCTCTGTTCAGAGGCGTACCGTGGGTGTCAGCCGCCCGGGGCGGAGGAAAATTTTGCCGCCCCTTATTTAGGTATTTCAATTTAAAAGACTAAAATTCAGTTTTGTCACAGAACAAGCAATGAAAAATTCCGTGCTATTGCAGCGACCTGTTTAAAATAGCTCTAATGGATATTAGTGGTGTATATGAACGCGAATGAATCGTACAAGCAAAAAAAAAGAAAAAGAAAAGTCAACAGGCTACGCAGAATTTCCTCCAATGAAAAAATTACTACTTCACCGGACGGCGAGCCGATTCCCTGACTGTCCGGACGATAGCAGTATCGTAGGCGCGACGCAAATTTACATTAGGATGGTTCAAATTTTTACAAGATATTATTATTATTTATTGTGAAATTTTGCCGCCCCTTAAAAAAGAGCCGCCCCCACTACGGTACGCCACTGCCTCTGTTCCATCTATAAGGAGATAGCCCGATGTAGTAAGCACAGAATTCTAAGGAGTGAGGAAATTTTAGGGTTTCAGAAACACCCTACAATTTTCTTTTTTTTTAGGAATGAAAAAGACGCCATCGAGAAAAAATAGTGCCTCGGCCGAAATATGTTGTAAGGTTAGGAATGTACAAAGCCCTCGGGAAAAGGACGGTAGTTAACTTTGAGGAGACAAACTCTATTTCGTCAGGCTTGAGTGCGTATACAAAGTTATAAGAGAAGGTTTCTTCTTCCAATAGTAAGACTAGTAATATTTATCACGTCTTTCTTAATTAGTCTACCAGTGACCAAGCGGTCTTCGTTTTCTGAACACTGCTAGTTTGGTCGTGGGTTCGCGCCTCGCTCGGACGGGCTGGCCACGTGGAGTTTTTCTGGTTTTCTTTATGTTTGTAACGTGTGCACCCCGGAAGGTATCTCCCCCGAGGCAGAGATCGTTTAAGCGTTGCCATAACTCGAACAAAGTGAACCTTTTTTAATTATGCTCAACTAGCAGAGACTGATATTAAAACAGTTTTCTTTATTTCACCTATTTAAGAATGCATTTCGGATTGGTAATCTTCTAATCTGTATTCGGTTTCACGGTTTTAGTGACTCCAACATAACAAACAAAAGGTTAGTTCTTTTAATATACTTTTGTTAGGCACAATGATGGATAATTTGTACCATCCTAATGGTGTAGTTTCTATTTATCAGTCTCTTTCTCTTACTGGCATGCTTTCTTTGTCTATTTTTGATAGGCAAATGCAACGCTTCTTCCATTTCCCAAGTTATTAACTCCTTATTACCTCTTAGAAGGATTTTAACTTCAATATTGTGGTTCGTAACACGACAACGGTCAAAATGTGAGTTTTCATTGCAAATATTTTCACAAGTTGAAAGCAAAGTTTTCACAAACAATTATAAGTAGGAGCAATATTTATTATGGCATCGTCACAATGCCGGGCTGCAATTTTTTATCATATTTTTAAATCATTTAATTTAAAATGTACACTCTCCACCTCAAATTAGTAGTGGCTAGCCCCTGTACATCATACTTTTTCTTTAACAATAGAGTCGTGCCGGTCATCTATTAACTGCTTTCGGGGGAATTTTGAATTGAAAAAACGTGACATCAGGTGTCTATACCATTTTTCAAAGCAGTCCCACAAGCTATTTTTGTGATGTCTTTAAGGCCTTTTGTCACCACAGTTCCCATTAGTTGTCCTAATTAATGAATATCTGACCAAGAATCTTTTGCAACTTTGAAGAATCGTCGGCTTATCTCATTTTAGGGAACAGATGAGTTGCAAGTTTCAATCATCAGTAGAGATGGAAACTGTAGCAATGAATACTCATAAAGAGTTTACAAAAAAATCACTATCAAGACTACTTTGACAAGTGGCATGGATGTAAGGCAGAAATATATAACCACAGTTTGAGATTATTTTGAAAGTGGTGTAATAAACAAACTTATGAAGTTATTTTTGACTCTAAATATTAATTACTATAATTTATACTGTATTTGTAATGTGTCAACACAAATATTAAATTTTGGCTGTTTTATTGTGCTGTAGTTTTTAAATTGCAGACTTTTACATTTCCAATATGGTCTGTCCAACCTTTGTTCATCTCAAGAACAGTTAGATGGGAATTGAGGTAGTTTACATAAGATAAAAAAAGTTAATATGATTCAGATTGAATTGAATTGTTTCATTAATTGATTCAGATTGAATTGAATTGTTTCAGAAACACTATAAGGTAGTGTTTCTGAAACACTACCTGAATGTGCTAAGTCCAAGTTCAACCAAAAAGTGGAACAAACTATACTGGAGAATTTTTGTGCAGAAATTTTATGAAAGTTTGTACCAACGAAAATGTGCCAACAAAAGCATCTGAATGAACTTTGCAACGTACATTCATCGTCTCTGATAGGAGAAAGGAATATAATTAACAATGTACCGGAATTTTATAATGTCCATGTAAACCACCTCATTCTTCGGGTTTGTGATATGCAAACTTATAGTGTACAAGTGCCCTATCGTGGTTAATGTTGACTGATAAGGGGCCAAAAGCCCGAAACGTGTAGAAATACCGTATCAATTAAATAAAGATAGAAAAGAAGCCACGTGATTGATTAATAACACGATCTTGTGTTTAAAAAATTTTAGTACAACACGGTTTCAAAACAACAAATAAACAATTGTATTATAGTCATGCATTTCATTCAATCCTACAATATGCATATTTTAAATTCTCTCTGTCTTTCGGGCAGAGACTGCTGTGCTCATTGTTCCAAGAAACCATTTATAAAAATTTAGTGTCACGAAATTCTCATTCTAGGTAAAAAAAAAAATAATGAAAATTTTCTTAAATGATAAAATTTTGATAATTAGATGAAAAATCTATAATGTAAAGGAATTAATTTTAACTACAAATTGATTATTGTGAATATGAATGTGCTCACGTTCTTACATT